CATGACGGCACCGTGTTTTTTGGCTATATCTTGATGGAGATTCTTGCCCAACGTGTGGAAATGTTCTAAAATTGGAAGCCCTCTTGGCAGCTTTTCTTTCTTGTTTGGGATTAACGACATAAAGAAATACAATTAGTACTCAGACTGCTATCCAAATCCAAGCTATAGGATAGGCAGCAGGGGCGGTCCAACACCTGGCCAACCCCCGCGACCGCCCGTGTTGGATCCGTCGGAGCAATTTTTATTTTTTTTTACAATAGATAAACGTTTAATCTTATATTACTGGAATTCATTTTTTTTTTTCTCAAACCTACTTTGTAGCTCAGTTGGTAAGATGTTGCATTTTACACTGTAGGTCCCGGGTTCGAATCCCTTCCAACCTACTTTTTGAAAAACATTTTTAGTTCTACTATTTTTACTAAAATTAATGTAATAGGGAAGGTTGGATGAGATTAGAACTTGTGACTTTGTGCTAGGTTAGAGAAGGCTTGACCATTACGGCACTTCTTAATATTGACAATAAATTTAGCAAAATAATATATGTTAGGTTGGACTCAATTTAATGCAATTGCAATTGTAAATATTCGAACTTGTGATCGTTCCTTTGAATTATAAAAACTTGGCCACAATGTCATTTGGTAAACACTGTTTTTTTTTCTAGCAGGATTATATATGTTTAATATATTTAATTAGTTAACTTACTTTAATTTATTGCTTTTTTATTTTATTTCAATATTTTTCTTTGACTAACTTATGAAGTGGAAAATTTTGTGAATTTCTGAATTAGGGAAATTGTGAATTAGTTAATTGGTAAATTTAGGGATTTGAAAATTTGTTAATTGGGGAATTTGTGAATTGAAAATTTTGGGAATTTGTTCATTGGGAATTTGGAAATTTGTAATTTGTGATAAATTGGTGTTGAAAATTTGAAATTGAAACTACAAGTGGCAAGTGCAAGTGTTGAAATGACATTATCTATTATGAATCTAATCAAGAGTGACTTGCGCAACAATATGAGGAATGACTGGTTGAATGACAATATGGTAGTGTACATTGACCAAGAAGTTTTTTTAAAAAATTGATAGACAATCTTGCAGCGCTTTCAAAATATAAGACCATGAAGATTCTAATTATCTGAGCGTACAATTACGAAGTGAAATTGTATTACTTATTTTTCTTTTTTATTTTGGGTTGTATTGTATTGGATTATATTTTCATATTATATCATTCATACGTTTAGTGTATTTATATATTAATCGAAAAATTTTTAATATTATTTAATTAAACATTATCTATATCGTCATTCATGTCGTTGCGGTCAATGGTTAATGATTGTCGGCCGCCCGTGCTGAACTTCAGGGCTGGATTCGCCCTTGATAGAGAGACTGTTTTTTTTTTTCCTTTCTTCTCGAAGCAAGATTATATTCATCTCCATGCAGGGGTGGACCCAGCCTAAGCCCAGTGGCCACCCCATTATTTTTAGAAACCCAAATCTAAAAAAAAAAATAAGTGGCCCAATTATTTGGCCCAAACGGTATGATAGAAGCCCTTACCAACAGAAACAAAGAACTATCTGATAGAAGCCCTACAATCTCTTGCAATCTGCATCCACATTCCACCAAGCAGCACGTCCCTTGTTTTCATCAGCCAGGAGCCCAGTAGGTGAGTTTTCTATAATTTCTATTGGTATTCATCTACTATTGGCTGTTTTCACAAGTGTTGTTGGGTATTCATCTGCCGTTTGCGTCTTGGTCTGGCCGGCTATTGAATTTTCTGTCGTGAGTGCACTATGAGTTTAGCACTTTGGCTATTGGGATTGGGTGTTGGCTGTTCACTATTGCCTGTTTCAGACTTTCAGTGTTTCTGTAAATCCGTTTCAGACTTTGGGGAACATTTTGATTCGAAACCAACTGACCAAGTAATGCTATTTAATAAATTTTGAAACCAAGCAACTAGCAAATAGCAAGCCTATAAAGTATAAACCTTTTGTTCCCTTGATTGACACGTGCTTACTACTTAGCAATGGAATTATGGAAATTGGAAATACATGTTTGGTATATTCTCATATAGAAGTCTAAAATTGAGGAAATTAATTGAAAAAGTAAGCCTTATTTCTATAAGTAATGCTATTTATGATAGAACATCGATGATGTGATGTCACATCACGATTCCATTTTGAATTTTGTTTATTTACATTCCAATTCATCTTTATTATAGTTAGTCATTGAAAGATTTTATAAAAGAAAAGATTTTGAGGTTGTGGAAAATGTAAATGATGAGCCGTCAAATGGAGACGATTTTGTGTTGTACAACTTCCCACCTATCCTGGATTAAGGACTCCAATCTTGAATTACAATTCTAACATTAGAGATCAAGTTTGAAGAGCTTATATGCAAAAGGGTCCTTGTCATCCATTTAACCATGACTTTAAGAAAAGACAATTTGGAGAAAAAGAATCCAAACGATTCAATCCTTCTTGGTTTAACGAGTTTGATGGTTGGTTAGAGTATAGTTTGGCAAAAGAAGCAACTTTTTGCTTATATTGTTATCTTTCTAAAACAAGTAGTGGGAAACAAGGTGGAGACGACTCATTTGTTGGTGAAGGATTCACGTATTGGAAAGATAAAAAGAGGCTTGGTATTCATGTTGGAAATCATAATAGTTCACATAATCAAATTCGCATTAAGTGTGAGGCTTTGATGAATTAAGAACAACACATTCAAACGATTTTCTTCAAGCAGTCATAACAAATGAGAAATGAATATCGTGTTTGTCTTATTGCACCAATTGATTGTTTTCGAGTTTTATTGAGATAAGGGCATTCATTTCGAGGGCCATGATGAATCTAAGAATTCTCTAAATCCAGGTAACTTCCTAGTTCAATTACAATTTGTAGCTGATCATAATCATGAGGTTAAGGCTATGACATTTGAAAATGCACCCCAAAATTGCAAATTAACATCCCCTAAGGTACAAAAAGATATAATACGTGCTTATGCTACTAAAACGGTAAATGTTATTATCAAAGATGTTGGTGATTCATTATTTTCTATCTTAGTTGATGAATCTCGTGATGTGTCAACGAAGGAGCAAATGTCACTTGTGTTACGTTATGTGAAAAATGGGCTTGTAAATGAACGTTTCATAGGTCTTGAACACGTGTCCACTACCACAGCTGTCTCACGCAAGGCTACTATTGATAAGATATTTTCTAGATATAACTTAAGCATCTCTAATTTGCAGGGACAAGGTTATGATGAGACAAATAATATGCAAGGTCAGTTCAATGGTCTCAAAGCACTCATTTTAAATGAGAACCCTTGTGCCTTTTACATTCATTGTTTTGCCCATCAACTTCAACTAGCTCTTGTAGTTGTGGCAAAGAAGAATATGCCGATTACTAATTTCTTTCGTATGGTTGCAAATGTGGTAAATAATGTTGGAGCATCGTCTAAACGTTGAGATCTTCTTCGAGAAAAACAATCAGATTTTATTGTTGAGGCATTGGAGAATGATGATATTTTAAGTGGAAGGGGCCTTAATCAAAAAACTACTCTTCAGCGTTAAGGTGATACCCATTGGGGATCACATTATAATTCTTTGGTTAACTTGATTAGCATGTTTACGGCTGTTATTGATGTACTTGAAATAATTGTTGAAGATAGATCAAGTACTTGTGATAAAAAAAAGTGATGCATTCAATTTAGGGTTATGCTACGTGTACATAATTTTTTACCTAATCTTTTACACCACACTCACATTTGGAAGTAGGGACCACGAGCCGCATTTTTTTAAAAACATGGGACCCGCCGCATTTGTGAGGGGGGGGGGACACCATTCGGTCACCCCCCCTTCGGTACATCCGAATAAACCCTTCAAGTTATTGGAGTCAATATAATTGTTTGATTTTGCATTTAATCTACATTGAATGAGAAGTATCTTGGAGATTTCAAATGATTTGTCAAAGACATTACAAAGGAAATTTCAAGACATTATCAATGCAATGGACATGATGAAAGTTTGCAAAAGGAGACTCCAAGTTATGAGAGATTATGAGTGAGATTCTTTCTTGCAACATGTTTCTTCTCTTTGTGAGCATCATTATATTGAAGTTCTAAGCATGGATGTTATGTTTATGCATTATGCACATGGTGGTCGCCCTCATCGTAATCCTCCACAAATGACCAACTTACATCACTTTCGGGAGATTTATTTTATTCTATCATAGATATGTAACTTCAAGAATTGAATGATTGTTTCTCGGAGGTAAATACTGAGTTACTCATTTGTGTAGCTTGTATGTGTCAACACAATTCATTCTCTGTTTTTAAAAAAAAAAAAAAAAAAGTTGATTCAACTTTCTAAATTGTATCCACAAGATTTTTGAGAAGTAGATCTCTTCACACTTTATGATCAATTTGATAATTACATTTTTTATGTTCTCTCTTGCAAAGAGTTTGAAGAATTAAATGGTCTTAGTGCTCTCGCACAGAAGTTAGTTTTGACAAGTAAGAGCAGATCATATCCAATGGTTTACAAGATTTTGACTTTGGCACTAATTCTTCCGATTGCTACTGCTACGGTATTTTCAGCCATGAATATTATAAAGGATAGATTGCGTAATCAAATTGGAGATGAGTTGATGAATGATAGCCTTATTGTTTATGTGGAGAAAGATATATTCTTAAAGATTGATAATGAGGCGATTGTACAAAGATATTAAAGTATGAAAACTCGTAAAGAACAATTATGAGGTATTTCATTTTAGTATAATGTTTGTGTTATAATTTTTTATTTTTATTTTTTAAAATACCGCCCGCACTGTAACAATTTCATGGGTCGGCCGCCGTCTCCGTGTACATTATAGTTCTTTAACATTTCAAAATATTTTTTGTTGTATTTTAATAAATAAACTTATTTTCAATAACTAAAGTACAAGCATTATTGTACAAGGTTATAGCAAGTGTCACTAACTGCAGCCGAAGACACGCTCTTTGGCATTACTTATGCAACCTGTAGGTTGGAATGGCCATTAAATGCTCAGCTCTGGTAGTTACTAACCCAAAATATTCAGCCATGTTCAAATCACTGGGAAGCATCCCATTTGGAAGCTCCCAATCGAAGCAATGCACTAGTTGAGCCACCAGTAACCGAACCACCACCAGTGCTAACTGTATCCCAGGGCACCCTCTTCGGCCGGAGCCAAAAGGTAAGAGCTGGAAATGGCGTCCCCGGAGATCTATATCACTTCCAAGAAACCTTTCTGGTTGGAATTTCTCTGCTTCTGCCCACACATTTGGATCTCTCCCTATAGCCCATGTATTCACTAGTATGCGAGATCCTTTGGGTATATGGTAGCCATCAACTGCACAATCTTCCATGGATTCGTGAGGGAGTAACAAGGGTGCCACAGGATGAAGTCTAAACGTTTCCTTTATTACCATGTTCAGGTATTCGAGATTGTCAAGGTCGGATTCCTCCACCGTTCTGTCTAATCCGATAGCGGCATCTAATTCTTTCTGGAGTTTTTTCATCACTTCGGGATGCTTAATGAGTTCAGAAAGCACCCATTCTACGGCAGCAGTTGAAGTGTCGATTCCTGTAATAATCAAGTCCTGGAAACAAATATTTCACACAGTCAATTAATGAATGCATTCCCTTCAGAAGCAGAGAATAATTTGCTGTGTTTGGCTGCTTAATATTGGACACATCATTGGAATTTGATTGCAAGTAAAAATTTTACTAATGCAAAGGAAACGTTAATAGGGCTTCTAATTTTGCTTCTCCTTCTTGTAAAAGAGCTTCCACATGAGGGGTCACCTTAGGTTAGTTTCATTTTATAATTCTTCTAATCAGATAAAAAATTTTAGAAATTTATCCAAATACGTACAAAAATAACTTTTTAATCTCATAAGCAATTTTTGACTTTTCAAAAGTTAAATAAATCCCGGGTTTGATAACCATTAAAATTATTATTTTTTGGGAAAAATGAGTTTTGGAATAAAAATATTTTAGAGAATTTGTCGTTAAAACATAGGAAAAAGTTTTTTTTTTTTTTTAAATGATTGTAAGATGTAGATAAAGGAAAGATATTTGGTGTCTTTTATGCCATCTAGCAAATGTTGAAAAACATTTTGTTCTTTACTTAACATCTATAGCTCAACACGGTGTTAATATGTACTCAAATCTTGAGTTTAGACCCATAAATATTGAACTTTGGAGGCTTTGATGAAGAAACAGATGTGGCATCTACAAGTTGAGGCGTGCAGAAGTATAATTTCAATAAACAAGTTTGTTGCTTGTAGTGATAGGAAATAAGAAAGTTACCAGCATCACAGCCTTGACATGGCGGCGATCAAATTCAAATGAAGCATCTCCAGATTCCATAATGGCCATCATAGTATCCACAATATCCTTAGTCTGCTTATTATCTTCCTTATACTGAACATGATCTTCAATAATCTTTTCAAGAAAACCATCAAACACCTTGGCAAGAGCCTTCATTCTGACCGTCAATCCCTGAAGATCAAGCACCCCAATATACGGAAAATAGTCCCCAAGATTGGGAATCGTACCCACCTGCACGGCCTCTCTAACCACGGCTTTGAACCCTTTTCCAAGATCCTTGTCTTCGTACTTCTTTCCAAACACCATAAGGCAAGTCATATCTGCATTCAACGAGGCTATTTTCGAGCTAACATCCACGGTTTCTCTTATTTTAGACGCTCCTATAAGTGAATTAACCAGAAGTTCTACCTCTGCTCTTCTCATGGACTGGAATTGATTGATCTTGAGATTACTCAGTAACTCTAAAGTGCAGAGTTTACGGATATTGCGCCAATAAGAGCCGTATTTTCCAAACGTAATATTCTTCTGCTCGTAGCCAACATACTTGGAGCTTTCATGGTGTGGCCTGCTGCAGAAAACATGGTCATAAGTCTTTAGAAAGAGCTCGGCTGCATCAGGGGATGATACTACGATGACGGGAACAAAGCCGAGGCGCATATGCATTATGGGGCCATGTTTTTTGGCAATTCGATACAGATCTTGATGAGGATTCTTCCCCAACATGTGGAAATGTCCTATAATCGGAAGCCCTCTTGGACCTGGTGGCAGTTTTTTCTTCTTGTTTGAGCTCAATAGTTGAGGAAGGAGATAAACAAATACAATAAGTATTAATACTGCTATCGAAATCCAAGCCATAGCTAGGCAGACTGGTTTTCTTCTTCTTGGATAGAAACAGTAGGTGGGTGAGATGACAAGGAAAATGAGCTTGAAAGAGATAAGAGAGCTGTGATGGAATATCAGGCAGTATGGATATGGGTAGATATAGGCCTGATTGGCCGCACTTTCAACCACACATTTAATGAGATTCATGACTTTTAATTTTTGACCAAACATTTCATTTACTTTTATCAAAATATACTAAAAATCAGTTTTTTATCTAAATCGATCAGGGGCATATATACAAGTGTCGAATTTCAAAATGCGGTTTTGCGATTTCGAGGGGCAAGTTTACTGATGCATGAGACGGATAATTTTGCCAAAAACTACAGAAAAACAAAAGGTACTTCTAGAGTTTGATTTTGTTAAAAATCGTAAACTTTAATAAAAAGTAATGAAATATTTAATTGAAAGGTTAATGAAAGTTGTGAATATCATTAATGTGTGGTTTAAAAATTAATTTGAAAAAAAAAAAGAGTTTCCAAAAATGGACTAATTCGTTTGCTGAACTGTGCAAAACGTAAAAGCTTGCAAGGGTACGTAGATGTAGCTTTCATGAAAATATCGGAAGTACATATCTTTGTCATGAAACGTGCATGTAATTGTAAGTGTTTGGCACCCATTTTAATGGAAACGGAAATTTTGGAATAGTAATTGATGGGAGAAAGTATGGTGGAAAAGTGATGAAAAATTTTAGATTTATATGCAATATTATTTTATTTAAAAAATATGCAGTTGAAATGAAGAAAGAGAAAAAAATTAGAGAGAACGAGTACCAAACAGGGGAGTAATTGCAACCATCATCAAAATATCTGTATTCGGCAGTATCTTTCCACCAAACTAAAAAGTCATAACGCGTGGGAGATATATGTTGAAAATAGAGATAGAGGCATATCATCACACAGTGCCCCCATTTGACCGCCTTCAAATTCCATTAAAATCCATTTGCCAAATTTTTCAACCATGTGTGAGCCCCACGTTTTCATTCCAACTGACTTTACAAGTTACGTGTGCAATTGGGGGTCAATAATAATCAGTAAAAATTTCACTAGAGGACTAAAAAATCATAATACCCCTACAAACATGGGCGGACCTGCCCCCAACTTTTGAGATTCTTTTTTTTTTTTTTTTTTTATTTTCTTTTTTTTTCTTTTTAAATTTGAATTTT